ATATTTTAAACTTAAATAACATAATTTTTAATATTTTTTTAGTGAAAGATCATTAATAATCTTAATATATTTTAATAAATTTGAATATATAAAATTTCATCTTATTAAAGAATTCTTTAAAATTATAAGAAATTAAAGGAGTTATTAAAATTTTTTTATAAATAAAAAATATTAATTTTTAAAATAGAATATAAATTATTTCTTTATTTGAATATTGTAATCTTTTGAAAAATACATCAAAACAGTCAAAAAAAATTATTTAAAATTTATTATAATGAATTTTTTAATATTGATAAATAATATTTATAATAACATAAAACTAATTAATACATCCTCTGATTCTGGTGTAGATTCAGATTCTCAAATAACAATAATAGAAGAACCAATTTTTATCCCTAGGAAACCACCTATAAAATTAAAATGTAAGAAATTAAGTTTTATACTCATTGCGGTATCAATATTTATTCTATTAATAATTTTAATTTATCTTTTTATAAATCCTAAAAAATACATACAATGAATATTAACGTAATTTTTCTAATAAAATGTTTATGTTTTTTACCACCTTTATTTTTAAAATTTTACTTCATTGATGCAATATTTTTATACTATTTTAATTTCAGTATTCTAAATTAAAAACACCTTCTTTTAATTTTAATTAAAATGAATCTAAGTTATTTATTAAAACATAGATAGTTTTTATTGTAAATTTTCTAAATATTGATAATGATAAAATGAATAGTTATAGAAATTAAAAATTATTATTATTTATGTTATAAAGTGTTGGTGTAATATTAATTTTAATAACATTATTTAATTTATAATAAGTTATGGTTTTATTAATTTAAATGTTTTAAAGGAAATTAAAAGTCATACATCAAAAAGATGTCAAACAATAAAAAATTAAATCAACAAAGTGAATTATAATAAGAAAATATATAATAAACATAATTTATTCGTTTTTTTAATCAAAAATCTCAAACATTTTGTTAAATTTAATAACATCTTTTACTTTAATTATGAAATAAAACTATTTAAAACTTGTTTTAAAATTATTTTATAAATGAAAAATAAATATAGATAAATAAACTGTTTTTCAGATAAATCTAAATGTTTTTAAAATAAAATTTTATTCTTTAAATTATAATTTGGTGTTATTATATTTTCAGTAATTTTTGTAATTTTATCTAAATCATAAATTTTTTTATAAAAAATTTAAGACTAAAATAATAAATCAAATGTCAATCAATACTTTTAATAAAAAACAATAAATACAAATCAAATCAAACCAACATTCTTTAAAATCAAAATATTCCTTTTTTCAAAAATTAATTTTAAAGTTTTTTAAATATTTAAATAAAAATAATTTAAGACCCCCTATTTAAATGATGTTAAACATTTCTAACTTAATATTTTTAATTTTAACAACAATCAATATTATTACTGCAAATCCCATTAGTAACGCTACACTAGGGCCTTCTACCAATGGAACACTAGCTAGTGATGAAAACAGCTTTGATTTAAATTATTTTATAAAAATACTATCATTTCCTTTGTAGGTCTGATTTTAAGTATATTATATTTATGTTTATGTAGAATTTACAAGAAATAAGATGAAATAAAGTTTTTTAAACACTTTTTACAATCACAGTAATTTTTATTAATTTATATTTAAAAACTAAATGGTTTTTACTGAATTAGTAGACAATTTTTAAATATATAAACTTTATCAATTTCTATGAGTTTATTTGAATACAATGAATTTGTTACAACAATTAAGAAAAATAAAATTTATATTGTTGGCTTATCCAATTGGTCACTTGTTTCCTTTTTAGTGAACTCTTTCTTTTTCATATGATAATTTATTTAAACAATTTTCTTTTTATATTATTTTTTGAAACTGAAGTTTCAGAAGTGTCACAATGACATAGACATAAATTGGCAACTAAAGTTTGTTCACCCAACATATATAATTATAGTTTCTTTTAAAATATAAAGCTCAATTTTTAAATTTACTAATTAAAATATTTTAAATGTATTTTATAAATTTTATGACTCAAGAAACATTACATAAATTAAGAATTTTATTTAAATGATAACAATTTAAACTGTTTTAAAGTATTTATTTTAAGAAAAAGCAAACTTATTTAAATCTTTATTTTTATCAAAAATATTAAATTTTCAATATTCTTTAAACAAAAAGAATTGAAGCCAAATCCCTATGAATAAAAGAGCAATATTAGCAAGTATGGTAACCACGGGGTTATTTATATTCAGTGGAGCAGTAAGTCTTCTTAGGAACAATTATATTGAATTAGAAAACATATCAGAAACTGAAATTAATGATGCTCTAAGTTTGTTTCTTAATATGTTTTTACCGCAGGATGAAATGAACACAATCTTAGATAGTGTGGATTTGGTGGTTGATTATATGGCTAAAGATGATAGTTTTACAGGGGTTGAAAAGCCTGATATTATCGAAATAATTAAACAAAAGAAAGTCTATGAAGTTGTTGAAGAATTAAAAAATCAGAAAATGTTGTTTAAAAACCTTATGAAACATTCTAAATTTAATTTAAGTTTGTTAAGTAGCAATAATAAGTCAATGGAAGTATTATCTCAGATGGTTGATTCATTTAATATTTTTATTTACGGAAAACAAATCACAGTTAGTAAAGCATCACTTTCAGCAATTGCTTACAACATAGTTAATTCTGTAATAATGATTTACAAACATGTTCATAATAACCTATCTGATGACAGTCTGTTACTTA